TGTTCTCTAGGAGCAACTGGAGTTCAAGAACATAAAAAAACTGTTCAGTCCCTAATTATGAATAACTGTTCAGACACTGCAGATGAGTGAATCTCATAAAAACTGTCAGTCAAGTTCATATTTTAAAAAGTTGACAACAAAAAAGTTGTTCTCTGATGTTGGTTAAAGGTCACATAAAATGCAGCATATTTTTTTAGCAAGTGTTTATTTGGATTGTTTTTATTATTTTTTAAATTTTATTTTAAAATTGATTTATGTTATTCTTTTTAGTAAGTGCTTTATTTTGATAATTTATTTTCATTTTTCTTTTTATCATTTTTAATAAGCATTTTATTTGGGTCATTTTTTATTTTAAAATCATTTATAATAATTTTTATAATTTAATTTATTTGTGTTTTATTTTGATTTCAAATCATTTATTTTAATTTTAAAATTTTAGAATTAAATGTTAGTAAGTGCAATTGTTCTTTTCTAGATTTTCTATTTAAATTTTAAATTTTTTTTTAATTTGACCTTTATAAATAATTTAATTAATTATTAAAAATTAGCAAGTGGATCTCACTCCAGATGAGTGAATCTCATTAAAACTGGCCATTGACATTATTTTATTTCAGTTAAGGACCTGAATTCTCATTTAGTGTAGTGCATATGTAAAAAGATTGACATTATTAATAAATAGTAAACTATATAAAAATCATCCTACAAAGCTGAGACGTCTTCATGAGATTCACCCAGATGCTGCTTCTTTACAGCAGCTGTAGTTTCACACAGTTCTGGAAGGATCTGATGGATCTAAAGCACCTGGTCTTTCTTTGGTCGCAGGAAAGACGTCGACTCGCGATCCAGAACGCAGCGCAGCAGTGGGAGGGGCTAAAAGCCTGCCTCGAGCTTCCTGCCCAGAATGGCTCCAAGGAAGACGTCAGTCCAGAATACAGCCCCGCCCACAGCCCCGCCCAGACCAATGGGAACACACAGGAGACGTCGCCGGACGAGCCCAGGTGAAGGTCACTCGTGAGCGTGCAAGCATGCGAGTATGTGTGTGAGTGTGCGAATAATGTGAGTTAGTGAGTACATTAGTGAGTACATCAATGACAGTAATGTGAGTGCATTAGTGTGTGCGACAGGGTGAGAGTGTGTGAGTGTGAGAGTGCGTGAGTGTGTGTGTGTGCGAGTGTGTGTGTGAGTGTGAGAGTGCGTGTGTGAGTGTGAGAGTGTGTGTGTGTGTGTGAGGGTGCGAGTGTGTGTGTGTGTGTGTGTGTGCGTGAGAGTGCGTGCATGTGTGTGTGAGTGTGTGCGAGAGTGCCTGCATGAATGTGAGAGTGCGTGAGTATGTGTGTGTGTGTGTGTGTGTGTGTGTGCATGTGAGAATGTGTGTGCATGTGTGAGTGTGCGAGTGTGAGAGTGTGTGTGCATGTGTGTGTGTGTGCATGTGAGAGTGTGCGTGAGTGTGTGTGTGTGTGTGAGTGCGTGAGTGTGTGTGTGTG